CCGAAGCTGAAAAAAGATCTGTCACTGTACTCTTGGAGGAAGGAGAGAAGTCGTATATGACGGCGCATTAAGGGAGGTCCTGACCACTTCTGTCTGGCATCGAGCAGGGCAAACGAAGAACTATGACCTGCTTCTCAGAGGACTAAGAGTCTGTAGAACATGCCTCAGAACCTCGAACAAGAAACTAGAAACGATGTCGAAAGCCACTGAGGATCTGATAGAGAGTAGAGCACTGAGGCTGGATCTGACTGCATCACATCCCGAGCGACTGTTAACTAATACCAGTTGCAGAATAGCTTTGCAAGAAGAAAAGTACAGGCAATCGAAACTTTTGGAAGCAGTACAAGGAAGGAGAAATCCGAAATACCGCAGGGTCTCACTCGACTACGGTGTCGCTGACAGCATTACTAAACGAAGATTCCCACATCTTCCTGGCAAAAGATGGAATCGATTACGAAGAGATTGTACACCGGTTTTCGCTCATCAACACCTGTGTTAAACGCTGTTATTCCCACGGTGAAATACCATCACATCTGCAAATACTCGCCGCAAGCCAGACTATGAAGGAAGCCACGGCTTCAAAAATCGAAAGTAACGACGGTCTCTTAAGAGCTGCGGGACTCGCTAACACTCGCTTACACAAGGTGCTTGCGGCACACCTAACTCTTACCTTCAAAAGGTAAGGACCCGACCGGTTGAGTGTTCCAAACAATCCTTCTTCATGAGAAGGGCGAGAGGGAGGAGCTTCGGAACAACCATTCAACATGCTTGCTGAGCGTGCATCACAAGCTCTTCACGAAGATTATTCTCATTCGCATGCCAAGGACACTGGATAAAACCCAAAATGTAGAACAAGCCGGATTTTGCAAGGGATTCAACTGCGTGGATCACATTTAGACTGTTTCGACATAGGAGTTTGCCGAGAGTACCGCCTGCCACTCATCTTATCCTTCGTCTACTATGAGAGAGCAGCTGACAGCGTCAAGACTAATGCCATACTGTCAGCGCTCGTCGATTAAGGGGTGGACCCATCTTGCGTGAGGACATTGGCCGACTGCTACAAGAACTGCTCGGCTTTTCCATCGCCCCTGTAACATACCAATTTCGAAGAGGGCTCGACAAGGCGGTACCGTGCCAAGGCTATTTACCGCTGCCTTGCAGTGGGTGATAATCACTGGATTGGAACGAGAGAGGTATACGGTTGATAGGAGACTCATCTCGAACCTTTGTTTTGCGGGCGACATTGTTGTCTCCTTGATATCGCCAAAGCGGAGACATACTGAAAGAACTAAACGAAGTAGAGAAGCAGATAGAACTGCGAACTACAGGAAGAAGACTCGGTTTGGGAAGAAAGCTTTTTGCTAGGGTCAGGAAATGACTAGAAGGCTCTCCAGTTGCGGAGACGTCCGCTTACGCATATCTTGGACGTTCGATGAACATAGAAAAAGATATGAAAGAACTAAACAGGAGG